GATCCGTAGGTAGAAATGACTTAAAGCTCTGATGCATTAGGCAGAACATTACACGCTGCACAAGTAAAAACGGTATTCACATCTAAAACGGCTGTGCTTTCCGACCAAAGGACAGAGCCAGATTCTGCGGCCTCATTCGATGTATATTTATTCACCTGTTCCTGTAGGACTGTGTACATCGGTCGCACGATCAGACATTTACCCGATTGCATTTGTGAATATTATCAGGTTGAACTGATAACCGGAACAAGTAAGAAAACTACAAGAACGGTGCGTTCGAACTTTTTCAGTCAAATCACTTTGTGAATGCGGTAAACGCGTTTCGACCGAATTAAAAGGCTCCATGTAGGTAAGCAAGAACGGTGAAACAACATAGTCGACGCCATAAGCAGATGAACTTACAATACCTCATGTATGCCCATAAAAATTTCGTGCAAGCACTTCACCTCCTGAGGCCTACTTGATCCACCCCAACACGTGAGCCATCCTTTTGAACGTTTCACATTGTTATCAGTTTCGCACAAACGCGCGTTCAAATCTGGGCTATTAAAACTTGAATGGTCTATTTTAATCGTGTCGTCAGTCACATTTAGAAATACGTAAGGGCACGATTACGAATAACTAACTATATTCACACTTCATTAGCAGCTGCTTCTGGGTGGCGGCGTGAGACAGATGATACTGATGTGGACTGACCGAATTTCGGAGTTCATCTTCACGCATAGGAGTCAGTTTGTCTGGTAAACGATACGCCTAAAAAGCACTAAACTCCATTTGGTTTGTCCGGGGTTCGAAGCTTGGACGGGAGTTGTATGTTCACTATTGTCGTGCTTTAGAGGGAGAGAGAAACCTGGTTCTAGTGCAATACTTTGCTTTGTTGCGGCTGGCTCCTTGGAAAGGATACGCCGGCTCCGGTCATGATGATTATCAATATCATGGAGTTCCTTGGGAGTTTGGTACGAGGGACGTCCCCAGTGTCACTCAGCGTTTTTTTTATTTTTAGGGGGCACCTCTAGCCTTTGCACAACCAAGTGTGAACTACAAGGTAGCAGGAAGTAATCCCTCACGTCGGAAGTGAGGGGGTCAAGGACTTTAGTTTTAAAAGGCCAGTCACATCGACCTTAGTCGCGACACCGTCATGGGGCTTATACGGCTTTTTTAAACAGGAGCCAGGTGACCAGTCTAAAACCCATCACCTCCTAATAGTGTCGCCGCTGTTTGTTCGCGATTGCTTATTTATTGCGGCGTGTCACAACTTATTCACAGCTAACTTTCTTCGGTGAAGGTATCCCCCTATCCACAACCCGGGGACGCGTCTGGTACCATTCAGCTCTGCTTAACCCGAGGATATCCAGTTCTAGTGCAATCCGAGTGTCCGGNTAATAAACTGAAGATGAAGTCTGGAGGATAATCATTTCAGTTTTCACAACTATTAAACATGAACTTTTATGCGCCCGTTCTCGTTGCTGTCTCCTAACTGCCCATTTGCATGAAGGGAATAGTAGAATTTTCAAATGTCAGAGTGAAAATAGAGAGACTAAGGTTGCAAGGATAATGACTAAATGCACAAACGTCACTGTTTGCGACACTGAACCATATCACTCAGTGTCTCAGACCACCGATTACTATGATCTCAATATCCCCATTCGAGGAGCCAAACACGACCAATATAACTGAGTCTCCATATCTGGGTTTTCATATCCTCATACTAGGTCTGAGTTTGACCACCCTTGACCTTATTCCATCCAACTTTCACATCGGCAAACAGCACGCGCCGAGGAAACCTGTTCGGTGACACGCGTGACACATGTCCCTACCAGCGTAGTCTACGGAGGTTGACTATTTATACCACGACCGCGATTTCGTAAAACTCTGCGCCTAACCTCAGCATTGTTTGCCCGGTTAACCCATAAGACTCGTGCAGTGCGGCATAAACAGGGATGTTCCAAAACCGACAATCTATATTTATCTTGCTTTCATAATGGTCAGGTTTATGCGCCGTACGGTTGAACTGGCCGAACTGTTGATGCATACAGTCGACGCTTCACAAACAGATGGAGGTCACAATGGTGCCACAGATGTCTCAAGTTGGTAAATGTCAATCAAGTCTTCTGTATGCGCGTCCGTCATGCGTCACTCGGGTGACCGTTCCAAATCAAAGGACTCAATTCATTAACTTAATCGTCCATAGATACCACAAAACGTGATAGTTAGCTGTATACATTATCTATTCCAGTAGAACAGGATATTTCCGACGGGCGACGAGCACGAGTTAGCGAATTCGCGTTGAATGAACTGTATGATTAAGACGAACAAGCGTGCGGTCAAATACAAATTTGATGAACAAAATCGTCCCGACACACTGCTCGAAACGTAGAAAACAATATTCGAAAAAAAACTAAGTAGAAAAATTAACGGAGGTTACCCAAATTGCCACCTCCAGTAACTCAGCAATGTCAATGTATAAAATACAGCTTATTAATTTCCTTGACGACATTTTACGCTCACCATGTCATATATATATATATATATATATATGATGAGCGATACCTTATTTTAGTGACGTCAGTTCTCAGTTCCATATTTCATGAGAGCCCAACTAGGTGATCATATGACTCTTATAGAAGCAGTTGAAAGTTTCGTTGTGCTTATTAAACACAGACCGATTATCTGGGATCATTTAGACAAAGTATACTACAGTATGTGATATCATTGCTCTGCTCAGACAACCCCGAGTAATACCAACACGTCTATGGACCACATTAAACAACTATATCCATTTCAATGTATATTTACACATTTTGGTATCGCGGATTTATTGTTAAAGCACTTAACCGAATTCACTATTTTGCAATTTACATTTCGTGTGACCCCAGTCGGGTCGATGGATTCGCACTGCTGATGAGACCCAACCAGGTCGAAACAGCTGTCCAGTGCTTCCGAGCTTTTCATTTCACGCTTCATTTGCTATATACACGACGAATTCCCATTTGAAATTTACATTTGTATTAAAATTTTGTTATTACTTATGAGTAATGTCTTTTTATCGCAAAATTCAGTCGTCTGCGTAACCTTCACCGAAAAATATATACAAAACAAACACTACCGAGTTACAAACATTCCAAGCAATGCAAACAAAAGAGACGTACAGTCAGTAGATGTTGATTACAACTAACCGAAGCATTCTGGTCGATAGACTACAAACAGAGACAGGAGACAAACCGGTGTATCAAAACAAATGAATAAACGGTGACTTACCATCCATATCCACAACCACATCTACGAGGGCAAACAAAAGAGTAGGTCTTGGTTCTACGTCTCTGCTCCGTAGAAAAGCGTTGTCCATGCAGTTGAGTGGAATAAGGCGATGAGCAGGCANTGGCCTGTTTGGAATACCATGGAACTAACGATATTAGGGTGGCCATGATCAACGGTGAGTTCGAAGATCGATGCTCACGCAGCTGAGAATCACCGCATCCCACAGTGGTACTCAGATGACTGGGTGAGCCTCTGTTGAAGTGGTGAGGAATATGGTTGTTTTGAATGAGTAGAAGATAAACAGCTGTAAAAGCCGATGGCTCGCATAAGGCCTCTGGACGTAAACCAGAGAAAGGACAAAGACTGGTGGACAGCTCTTCGGGAAGGTCCAGATGGTGCGCGTGAATTCGGATGGGAAGCGACTAAATAAAACAGTAAAAAAAAGAAAAAAAAAAGAGTAGCCGTGAAAGCATTCACTTTATCTAGAAGAGGAATATGGAATGATTCAGTCTTTTATTGGACGAAAAGTATCAAATTTTTCATTACCGGAAAAAGAAGTCATACTGACATCTCAATTCACCATAAGGGAACCAACACAAATACAAACTGAAGCAAGTCTTTCCCGAGATTAATTTCGAAAGAAAAGACCATGTTGCAATACTGCACGATTTATGTACAGCATGCTTTCACTGCATCTGAATATGGTGCATACTGCAGAAAAATACAATGTTTATACATACAGGGCTTCAACATGACAACACAGTAAGGCAAGATACATTAAAACCGATAAAACATAAAAGAGGGAGGGATAAAAGGACCATGTCACCACGGTAGGGATAGACTACCATAAAATTCTTTTTGCTGACACAGGGGGGCGTCCATCGATATAAACACCATGGTGTCGATGATCTAATGTGGAATCAACAGTGATGAATAAACAAATCCCTAATAACATAAGAACCCCGATGAAAACAGTTGTATTTGACACAAAAGACAACATGGTTACCATACCTGTATTTCACGAACGGTCACTTTGATGAGGCAGTAAAACTTCAGTTTGTTGCAGCAAATTCGAGAGCGTCGTCGACAGTCGTCCGAGGAACAAACATTTAATTCAAACAAAGTCCAAATTTTAGAATCCCTCTCTAGTGTCAGAACCTTGAACAGATCAGACTATTCTGGTGGTGGTATACAAATAATCTGCCCGAGTCATGCAGTAGCTAGAAAACTGCGATTACCCATCCGGGCAGAGCATCGATTTGTGATGGAAAACAGCGTTTGATGGACGACAAAGAGCAGTAAACAGCTGCTTAGATGTTGCGAGGACTCGTAGGCGTTGTGTACTTCTGACGACCCAATCAGGACTCCAAACGCACTCCTTCGGGTTGTGGGCCAAAATCCTTCTCTCTAAGCTAGCTGGTTGACAATCCATTATCTAGTTAAATGTCCACAACAACTCGGAATATTATTTGTGAACGCAGGTATTTGATTTTCACAGTTATAAATCATTGTTCTCAATGCAATTCAAAATACGAACAATACACCTTCCAGACTTTCGGCGAGGCCAAATGTAAATTTGGCAAAAGCATACTGGAAATGACTGCTCTTATTCAAAAGTTCGGTACGTCTTCCTTTCGTAGTACATAATGTTCTGATGAAACCCCTGAACAACAGATACCCTGTAATATAGGGATGAAAATAGTGAAGACTGCAGAGAGTTTGGTTAATCTGCCTTGATATATTTAGAGGGCCTAGATGGGAGAGGGAACAGAAAGAAACATAGATAAAGGGATGATATTCTACAAGCTAGCACTTCTTGGAGGGGGAGATAACGGAAAACTGGCCATGCGGCACCTGGGAACGAATACACGGGGAGGATAAACAGTCTTCTAGGATATTGGCTGACGGGATAAGCACCGATGAAACAATTTCATTGGAAGAGAAGAAAAGTGAGAGCTGTTAGAAATGGCAATGAGGTGACTACAAGATAATTATCTAGTGGCTGTGGGTTGGTTTTGATAGTAGTCATGTATGATAAAAACGGTCATCTATAGTTTTGATAGAGTAGATTGAGAGAAGACGAGGAAACACTGTACACGTGCCAGTTATATTTAACAATCGGGATGAATATGGGGTTTGCAAAAAAAGTAAAGGGATTGGAGTGAATGAGCGTTTGCAGTCGAGTGAGAAAATCTTATACGAAAGAGACGATGCTCGTCGTTTACATAGAAAATACTTTAAAATCAACTTACCTCATTGCCCGCATGTGTGCGCCTACGCACAGGTGAATTCACTGATGTGGATGGATCAGTCCCGGTATTGCACGAGGGCAAATGAGTGGNAGTGGTAAACCATTCAACGCCAGCTTGACAGCAAGTGAGCCGGCAAGTGGTCAATTCGGGAGCTTGATCACACGGAACCACTTGAAGCGACCTGGTTTGATTGAGATGGTTACACAAAACGGTCAAATCCGAATTGACGGCGTTTACCAAAGCCGGGGCATCTGTATAGGCAAGTAGCTGCTCAGGCCAGAAAAGGGGAGAACTGAAGGCAAAAGGAACATGAGGAGGAATGATTAAAAGTTCTGTCACAAATTCCCTTTGGAGAAAACCTGAGAATTTCATTTCAGATCGAACCAACGCAGAGTCAGCCCAAAATGACAGTAACGGAATTGGCAGATACTGGCTGAGATTCGACTCACAACATGAAGGAATGTGGGTTAATTCCAGATGGGGATGCAAGGAATATCCACTGTTGACAAGACCCGACAACACGAAACAACTGTTTGATGCTTTTCGTTGAGGAACACATCAGATTGCATATGAACTACATTATTTATATTTCACACTTGTCTGAGGACAGACTGTGTGCCAAACAAATCA